TCGCAGAAGCTATCAAAAAAAGCAACAACGATCTCAATGTTGGCAAAAATTTTATCTTTGCATTCAAATGCCCCCAAAATGAACAGTGTTACTGCATTGTCCAAGAAGATAAATCTTCCACCAGATGTATTCAATGTCGATCACACTGTAAAGTACTACAAGGTGATGATGATAGCTACAGGTGCTGGTTTAGTGATTATCAATCATCCAGTCCAGGTTAGTAATGCACAATGAAGAGTATTTTGATGGAGTACCACCATTGATGTATTAGCATTACTTCTAATTTATTCAAAATGTAATTATTATTATTTCTTAGGAACTAAACCATCATCAAGAGACCCACCTACTGAAAGACACAGATTAGAATTAAGTAAGCCAATTATAAACAGCATACTTTAATCTGATACAATTTAGATGTTTATATGTACTTGTAGTAATTTTCTCAAAAATCTTTAATACCAACACTGCAATACATTATGACTAGAAGTACCTGTAAACATACTTGTAACATAAAAGTTGAGAAATTTTTTACTTTTAAGTCATGCCTATATTTACAGGTACAATGTACTTCTGGCCGTAACATATGACAGTGGGAATTGTTCTTAAGCACATTCTACTTTATTTTGAATAATTCATGTACTCCTTGCAATTATAATATAATATAGTATAATTATTATACTATATTATAGCATACTGTAGGGCGCCTTTTTTCTGAGGGCTGTAGATTTCATGAATTTGCCTTAAAATTTATTTTGTGATTTTAATTTTTTGTGAATTTATTCCATCTGCCATCTTGTACCGTAATAATTTGATTTTTGCAGAAGTAATTTTCGCAAATCTTCAAAAAAATTGCAAAATCTGTGAAATTTATATACAGCCCTCGAAAAAAGGTGCCCTATGGTATTAGTGACTCACTCAGTGATTTTTTATATATACATATAGGCACTAGTGAGACTACCATGATGTCAATATAATATTGTGACAACAAATTTAATAATACTAATTAATACTGTAATAATGATACAGTTTTTATTATTGTTTAATTTACACTGTCTGCCATCCTGCCATCTTCAAAGAATTATGAAATACCCTAAACTTTCATCCCTCATAAATTTTGCACTTGGATGAAGATTACCTTTCTTGAGTTAATTTATCTGTTATCATTTTGTGTTCTTTTTTAGGCAATACAATTTTTATAATTACAATAATACCAATCAAAATTGTCAAATTTTAACACATAAATTGTTAAATTGGTTTATTGACGTATAAGAACTTTATGATCATGTAAAATATTAATAAATAATTATTTTTATATTGTGTTGGTCATTATTGTTCACACAACAAGTTCCCTTTAAAAAATGGCAACTGTTTTGCTTGCAATTTTATGTACAATGTGTGTATTATATAATTTATTTTTTACATCTTTTATAACAGATAATTCCACATTTTCTGGTAGTGTTACAAAATCGTTTATTAGTACAAGCACTGTTACAGCAGAAAAAGATATTTTGCTATAATTTATATTATTATTTTAAGCAAAAATATGATGGCAAAACCCTTTATACAGTTTTTGTATTAGCATTATAATTAAGTCATTTTTCACTGTACCTCAAAGATAATTATAGTAAACATCATTAGTAATGATGTCAATAAAATAGTCAATATTTATTTTCTATAGTTCCTGCTCCAACCCCACCTCCTGATTTATTTTCAAGTAAAGAGTATGAGACGAAGCTATCTGAAGTTGAAGTTAAAAGGATCGTTAAAGGTATTCGTATCCTGCTGATGACTGCCACTCAGAATGAACTAAGTGCAGTGTTGGGCTACTTGAAACCCTTAAATGGTCGGGATAAAGTTATCAAAAAATTCATTAATGATACTTGGATTTATGTTGGAAAGTATGGGAATTTCTCAGTTGTAGTGGGAAGGAGCGCATATGCTAAAAGTCAACAAGGTCCTTTAAAAGCTGCTGAAGTTACAAAGAAGATAATGGAGATATATAAGCCAAAATATATAATTGCCATTGGAGTCTGCTTTGGAATGGATCGAAACGAAGTGAAACTTGGCGATGTTATTGTTTCTGACTTGATTGTGGACTTATCCACCTTTAAGAAAGAAGAGGGGCTTATTATACCTCGTGGACCTCAACCTCCAGCAGGAAAGACTCTTTCTCCCCTCTTTGGAGACACTTCTGGGTTCGAAATGAGGCATTCTGATGAAGAAAATGCTGAAAAAGTCAAAGTCCATTGTGGTCCCATTCTTACTTCATCTGCTTTGGTCAATGATGATGATTTTAAAAAGCAATTAGGGAAAGTACGTTCTGATGCTCTCGCTGGTGAAATGGAAGGTGCTGCTATATTTTCTGCAGCTCATGGTATAGCAGAAGCTATTGTCATTAAGGCTGTTGGTGACTGGGGGGATGGGAAGAAGGAAGCATGCAAAAGTTGGAAGGATTTTGCATCTTATGCAGCTGCTAGATACGTCCATTATCATTTAGACAATGTTTCTTCAGATGCTCTGAAGTAGTTTAATGAAATAATTATTACTGATTACTATATAGTGCTAGTGTTGTTTTAGTTACAAAATGAGACTTTTAGTTAGTAATAGTTAGTTATGGAACTTGAGATTTTGATTTTAGTTAGTTTTAGTCAGTTATGTTTCAATAAAAATAATTTTATTTATAATAAAATAGTTTTTAAAATTTCTAAATCTTTTAGTTAGTTATAGTTAGTTTAAGAATTTTTTTAAAAGATTTAATTAGTTATAGTTAGTTAACTAAAAGTAAATCTGGCCTAACTAAAAGGGTTTTTAGTTTTAGTTATAGTTAACTAAAACAACAATACTGATTACGAGTCAAACTATATTATTACTAGATATTTAATTTTGGGTTTTGAAATGTTTTTCTAATAATTATTTTTGCCCTTTTGACTATTATGAGTTTTGAAAATAAAAAATCAGCATGAGGATATGAATATAATACAGGAATGTGTATAATAAACAGTTTGTACACATACATATTGCGTTATTGCCCACATCCATAATAGCACATACATTAGCAGTGCAATATAAATTCTAAATTTCAATATTTCACATGTAAAGAGAAGAGCAGTCTAACTTATGATACATTAATACATAGTCTCACTAGCCAACCATTCCCCAGCCTACACCAATGACTGTATATGGGAAGGGTCTGGCTAGCGAGACTATTACTACAAGCATTGAGGAAGATGGGAGAGAATGCTGTAGCTGATGGGATTGAAAAAGGAATAAATTTACTAATGAGGATTATTAACTAAACTTCATCATAAAAATGAAATGAGATGGTTTCACTTGAACTTTAGAAGCAACTCTCTAAGATTTATGCACATCACACATCAAATGTTTTCAAGTTGTCAATGTGAAAGCACGTGGTTTGAACATACGGAGTATATGAACGGAAGTATACCAATTGGAAATAAGAGACTTTATCTCAGACTTTATTAGATCTTTTTCTGGAGCCACTGGAGGTTAAGAATGAGTTCCATATATATAACAGAGCCTCCTACTAAAGGAAAGGTAGTTAATCCAGCAGCAGCTGTATTAGTGACTACTGGCCCCTCCCCTCAGGTACTATTAAAGACCACACTGGGTGATATTGATATTGAACTGTGGTCCAAAGAGGCTCCTCTGGCCTGTCGTAACTTCATACAATTGTGTTTAGAAGATTATTATAATGATACCATATTCCACAGAGTCGTTTTTGGTAATGGATTAATTATTATTAATTAGTGGGTGGAGTTATAATTATTAATTAAGTAGAATGACCTGTTGATGTTACGTTGCTTTCCTACATGTACATGTAATTTTTATCTCTCTCTCTTTTTCTCTCTCTTTCTCTCTCTCTCTCTCTCCCTCTCTCTCTCTCTCTTTCTCCCCCTCTAGAGTTTGTAGCTCAAGGTGGTGATCCCACTGGTACAGGAGAAGGTATTAATTATTAATAATTATTTGTACAAATATTTTTTATCTTCTCTTCAGGTGGTGAATCTATTTATGGTTCGCCATTTAAAGTCAGTTCATCATTACCATGACAACCCTTTAACCACACCCACTCTAATTAACAGGATGAGTTTCACCAGAGACTCAAGTTCAATAGACGTGGTCTGGTAGGAATGGCCAATGGAGGAAAGAATGATAATACCTCACAGTTCTTTATAACGCTGGGAAGAACTGATGAACTTCATAATAAGAATACAT